CACATTCTGCGAAATAAACTTTTCGAAATGTTGGATAAAGATATGGTAGAAGTGCAAAATCAGCTGCGACAAAAGCAGCCGGGGGTTACACAAGCAACCTACCAGACGTCCTTGGATAACATCCAGAAATGCAAGGACAAGTACACAGAGCTCCCGCTGGAGCCGGTAAAGCTCGAAGGTACAGAGAAGGACCCTTTCATCGCAGCGCGGGTCCAAGACACGACCTTCTTGGAGGACCTGGACGACGAGGAGCAGGCAATCCTCGACACAAAGGCCCTCGGGATTGATCAAATTCCTGATTTCTCAGGCGAACCGGGCTCCAAGGTCGCAGTTGAGACGTTTGTGCGTGAAGTAGAAAACCACAAACAAATGCGCAAATGGAGTGATCGGCAGGCAGCAAAGGTCGCCGCCGCGAAAATGAAAACCGGCGAAGCCGCCGACTTCAAGATGATGCTTGAAGACGACGAGGACCAGGACATCAATTCCTGGTCGAGATTGAAATTGCGCATACTTACTCGTTTTCAGCCTGCTTCAACATATGCAAAGAAAGCTGAGATCTTGAAAAATGTGCAGCAAGGTCCACTTTCCGTGCAAGCCTACTGGGGGCGATGCAATTACGCATTCCAGCAGGTTTACAACGTCCTTGCCACACAAAAGGACAAGGATGGGAACATCAAGTGGAAAGATGTAAGGGACTACACAAGGACCTTGATGTTCCTCATCGGGCTGAATCCAGACATCAGCACCAAAGTGGTCCTGGCGAACGCCAAAACGCCATCTGAAGTCGTCGACGCGGCCATCCGGGTGGAGACGTCATTTCTCCAACACGAGGCCGCGACGGGCAAACCAATTGGTGCGAATTCAGTCGCCGCTGTTGCGTCGACGACCACGCAAAACGCAACAGAGACAAAGGAGACGCCGCAGGTTAATGCGGTCGCTGCCTACCACGGCAACCCACCGAGGGGTGGATCCCGAGGCCGTGGGGGCAACAGAGGTTCCCGACGTGGAGGACGCGGCGGACGAGGTGGCGCCTACAGGCAGGCTCCGCCAACCACACCGTGCACGTTCTGCCAAAAAATGGGACATTGGGAGAGAGACTGCTTTGCTAAGCAACGCATGAAGCAGGTGTACAGCCAACAGCAACAGCAACGCTCTTCCCAACCCCCAGGACAACCTCCGCACGTGCGGAACATCAACGCGGTATTTGAGACGTTGCCGCAACTGATGGGACCGCCGGGCAACGACACGAGGTTGCCACAAGACCCTCCACCGGGGTATTACAATTCGCCGATGCCAACAACACCTTCTACCCAGCCTACAGGGGAACTCCGCGGCGAGGAGTTTACTAATCAATCTACAACATGGAATTAAATGTCATAAATCAACCAACTTCTTCAATAAATGCGGTAGGCGCTGCACATTATTTCGATGTTTCTATGCTTTGCAACGACAACGGCGCGTTTTCAAATTTTAGCAAAGATATTCGCCCCCGCAT